GTTGCTGCTTTATACCTGTAGTTTCTTGAACATGCTTGTGGTCTGGGGCTGGCTCCCCTTCAATTTCCATTATGTCACGAGCTACTTTTTGGAGTTTTTCCACAGGTACTTGGTGCTCAGCCAATTCCTCCTGCAACTGCTGCTTGTCCATGAAAAAAACAAACAAACAAAAAAACCATCTAAGTAAGTAATCAAAGCTGATTCTAGGAATGCGGAGCTACTGAACAGCTTTACAGAAAAATTCTAAGTTTACCCATAGCCATAAATATTAGAAGCAAGTATTTAGCACTCAGATCTCGTCCAAGGCATCCCAACTACTGCCTTTATTTTATGTAAGCATTTGCTTTATTTTGGGGTACTTTACGCCATGGAATACAAGGTCTTGACACCACAACACAGCCTGTATCCTGACTTACCTTTGTTGTTGCAAGCTGCTGCTGGAGAACTCCAGGGTCGGAGGCAACTGTATCTGAGAGGAGCTTCCCCACATTGGCCTCACAAGTCTGCATCCAGGCCTGCAGGCTGTCAGCACTGTTTTGGAATTGATGATACTGGCCTAACAGCATATTCAGGTGAGATCCTAATCGTGTACACTGTGCCAAAGAAAGGAAGGTAAGCAGACTTAAGCAAGGTCAGGCCAAAGGCAGCAGCTGCCCAAAGAAAGAGGCCTGGCTTTGTTACAGAGAACTCACTGTAACTTCAGATAAGGGTAGTGCCAGAACACATGGATAGATGGGTAGCAATGATCTATAAGTGTGGGTCCCCACAGTTTGCTCCATATTATTCATCTCGACCTTCTTACATATCCAGCAAAATTTAATGAGATATATGACAAGCCCCCAAAGAAATGAACAGCATGTTGCAGACAAAGGCAGGGGTTAAGAAGTGCAAAGAGTGTTTTTTCTTGGGGATTAGAAGTGTTGGCAGAAGGCATAAGACAGGTAAGAAGAGCTGACTAGATTCTAAACTTTAGAAGAAAGAGGAAGTTCTTTAGATAGGAAGGAAGGTAAGGATATACCCTAGATGCTCTGTCCAGAAATAAAAATTGTGCAGTTGGTTTAAATTTCCCCTGTGTGCTATGTCTCTTGGGAGCCCAAGTCTGCTGGTCAGGATACAGGAAGGTGAATACTTCCACCTTCATCATCAGTGTGACATACTCCTGCCAGTGCTAGGTATTAGGTATTAGCTAGCTATCAGGCCTTTGGGCTAATACCTATGTATGTTCCATTTTTTGCATTGTTTGTGAAGACCTTCTGCCCATGGTTCAAGTATAAATCAGCTCTCCTACTGTGTCCTGGGGTTCTTATTCTGAGCTCCAGACACTACCTACATTGTGTGAAGGCTGCCATGATTGTTTCACAAGGATGCCAGGAACTGCCCCCTTACCTCTGAGTGGAGAGCAGTGTACCTTTCTGTTGCATCCTTCAACTTGTCCTTTACTAAGTTTCCAATTTCTGATGGTTCTTTGCCTTCCTTAAAACTGTTTTCCGTGTCCAAGACTTTCTGTCCTGAGATAGTCACAAATCTCAAGTCTCCTTTGTGGGAAATGACATCCTCTGAGAAGCTTCCTTGCCGCTTCAGCAGGGAGGGAAGGGCCTCGGGGCTGCTGCCTCCTTTATGCATGTTCTCCAGCTCTTTCTCAGATCGTTCCAACCAGCTTTCAAACTCTCTATGATCCTGTAGAAATTTCTGCAACTCATCCTGAAGTGTCTGCACCTGCTTCAGTTCTGCCTCTGATTGGGCCAGGGAAGTAGAATATTGCTCCTTTAGCTCTCCCAGCTTTTCTTGCAGCATCTGTTGTTCCTCAGGTGTGAGATTGTGGCCATGCTGATCCAGGAAGGCCTGAGCTGACTGGGTGGCCAGAATGAAATGTTGCTGCTGGGACAGCAATTCTTGGTGACGGGCCTGGTAAAGAAAAAAAAAAAAATCCCCCCAAACAAAGGACAATCAGCAGGAATCCACAATAATTTGAGGTATACAAGACTGGACTGCATACTCCATGTGAGGTCTGCTCACATTAAGCCTTGGTCTTTTCACCCACATTGCTGTCAAGCCATACACCTCTCTCAGCTTTGCTGCATCTCACATTTTTCCGTTAACTTCATTTTATTCAGTTCAGCCCCTTGTTTTAGGTATAGCCCTTTAATTTAGATGCTGACTCTTAAATTGTACTTATAATCTTTAAGGACCATCTACATATAAGCTATAAGTAGGGAGAGGTCTCTATCTCTACTCAATAGACCACTTTTCCAGCTGCTCAGAAATCATCAATATCAGTCACTCTCTAAATAGTGACTCTCTAAATAAATGCCACATGCCAATCCCCTCTGAAATGACATGTATAGGACTTTATGGTTTTCAAAGAGATTTTACATGTATTATCTCATTTGCTTTGTGGCACAACCTATAATATAGGTAGACAATATAATACCCATATTAAGAATAAGTGAATACCAGCTGGGTGCGGTGGCTCACGCCTGTAATCCCAGAACTTTGGGAGGCCGAGGCAGGCAGATCATCTGAGGTCGGGAGTTCAAGACCAGCCTGACCAAACATGGTGAAACCCCATCTCTACCAAAAATACGTAATTAGCTGGGTGTGGTGGTGCGTGCCTGTAGTCCTAGCTACTCGGGAGGCTGAGGCAGGAGAATCACTTGAACCCAGGAGGCGGAGGTTGCAGTGAGCCAAGATCATGCCACTGCACTCCAGCCTA